TTTGCATTGCACACAAGACAGCAGCTTGTTATCCCACTTGCACTTATGTTCTGCTAGCTGACAGTCCACAGTATGCACCCAGCGGAGAGATTGCCCTCGCAAAACGTTATGATAAGAGGGTGTCAGTGCTGCAAAGCTGAGTGCTTAGAAGTTAGGATGATGCCTGAGTGAAGGATGTCGGCGTATTCTGAATTCTTGTGCTCCCAAGTGAGCACTATAATGGAGTCTTTAGTTCTTCCACAGGCTCCTCTGTCCTGGGGGACCAGATGGCTTGTGCTCTGTAAATGAGCTGCGATTTTTACATCTGCTTTGCCCTCCCCTTGTTCTGGTTGTTGATCCTCTTATTTTCTTGGTGACTCTTCAGTCTCTGACCTGGAGACAAAATTGTCCACGTATTTCATGTTTTTTTCCTCTGGCTTTTGTGATGTATGAGCATGTGCTCCTGAAACTAAAAAGTCATCTGCAGAACCCTGGGAACCCCAAAGGGGCAAGGAGTATTAGCCTCATTTTTCAAATTGCGAGAAAAAGAGAAATATCCACAGATTTTGAGCATTCCCTTTGATCATTGAGCCCTGCTTTTTGCCAGTTCTGTTCATTGATAAAAAAAGTCAGGTTCAGAAGGTAATCTCCCTAACGTCATTTACAGATCTCAGTGCTTACCAGAGCTGCAAATTCAGATCCAGAGTCCCAGCCAGCCAAGCAAACCTAAGCAGCACTCAAGGAGCAATTGCATTTGAAAAGTTCAGCTAAAATATCTGTGGGAGAGGCAGGCAGAGAATTCGGTTTACCTGGATGTCTTATAGCCATCTCAAACATGACACAATGCTGTATTTCCCATCCTCCCTCTCCTTTGCTGGAAAAGCCTGATTCCTTTCCTGAGTACAAATTGTCTTGTGCACAGAGCAAGGCAAAGGTCCTAGGGACGAAAATGAGGCATGTGATCATGCAATTAAAGGCTGTGTCATATGCACAAAGGAGCTTTAAAGTAAATTGAGATTGCAAAGCAGATACAATGACATAAATATGAGCTAAACACACAAACAGTAAAGCCACAGAAAGAACAAATGAATTCAAATGAAAGCTGTTTATGAAGAATGGTTTCCAATAGCTGAGCCTATGTGAGATCCCCAGCTAGTATAAGTCATCAGCAGATTTCAGTGGAGCAACAGCATTAAACATCACCTGGGATCTGCTCTTTGCCTCTTGTTATTTCCTTGCATTGAGTTCGAAAGAAATGTGTGCAAGTTTGATTATGAATGCTATTCTTCATTAGGAGACACAGACAAAATTAAACTGGGCTTCTTAATTGTTGCTGCTGCTGCTGTAAAACTGTATGCGAGTATCTGTAATGATATACATCCATCTCGTTGGATTACTGATTTGGATGTCATGTCTGTTTTTTCATCAGTGCTCATAAAATATTAACATCCCGCTATAGCACTTAAAAGTCTTATTGTATTAGGGAATTTCTCTCCTTCCCTGCAGCAATTACATCCATTTGCTGCGCACTGAACGTTAGCCATTCTCCATTTTTCCTGTTTGCGGAAGCGAAATTTGGGTTCTTTCTGGGGTTTCTAAGTGGTGCTCTTCATCTTAGAAGGATTACTGCCTGCCCCAGGATCAGTGATAACTGGAAATAAATACAAAGAGGCATGTTAGAAATTAGAGATGGCATTCCACCTAATACAGAACATATTAGAATTATTCTACCCCACGTTTTATTTAACAGGACACCCAAAGTCACTTGCTAAAGAAACATAAAAGAGATCCAAGCTCTTTTGGTCTGAACTGCCTTCATTATATGGCATATAGTTAGTGCACTCTGCTTTGTTTCCCACCACCCTTAAGGGCAGCTCACTTTGTAGAACTGGAGCAAAATGAAAAGTGGAAATGTCACGGAGTGGTGGCCAGTGCGCAGTAGCTTCTGGGTCTCCATAACTACTTTTTTCCCCCCGCAATAAAGAATGGTCTGAGTGGAAGAGGGAAGTGACGGGTCACTCTGTTCCCTGATTATAGAGAAATCATTATTCCTACCATCTTTTAAGAGATACCTACTTCCTCACTGAGGTGCATTTGTAATGACAAAAAGCTGTCTATGATGAATAGCCTCCTCTGCCCAACAGTCCCTTCTGCATAGAAATGATGGATATGAAGATAGAGGTCCCATGTCACCATGTATCTGTTGAGCCTGAGCTGGAATAACATGCCTGCTCCTCCTTCTCCTCCTCTGTCCTATGGCTTGGGGAATATGTTTCTTTGCACTCACTCGATTTCACATGTATAACCTCTACATTTGGCCCAGTGATACTGCCTAGAACTAACCTTAACTGCCCCCCTACTCTCAGAGCAAGGTGAGAGAAAAGAGGAACGAAGGCATCTTAGGAATGAAAACAAGAATGATGTTGCTGCGCCAGAGAGCAATGAGGCAAATAAGGAGTACCTAAAAGCCAACAACAGATGAATTAAAAAAGCAAATTACAGATTTCAGTCTCTCGGGGATATTTTGCAAGTAAAAAAAGTTAATGAATTGAAGCCATAACTTTTAGCAGGGAAGGTGTATGGGCATATCAACAGAAAAAAGATCTAAGGACCAATGTGGAATTGCTGATCAGAGGAGTCAGAAGGAGGAACATATCTTTCTGTGTGACATGTAAGGAACATCAGTTCAGTCTGTGCTCCAGTGTGGGGGTTGGAGTTTTTTTGTTTTTTATTTTTAATTTTGAATGGTTTTAAATGGAGCTGCACCACGAGGAGAGGCTGAGCAGGCTGATCACCTCCAGCACAGTCCAAAAACTGGGCCTGGAGCACTGAGGTGAAGCATCTGGCAGTGCTGAAGCCAAGCCAGGCTTTGCAGTTGACCCTCGGAGGCGGTTAATCAAGTGCACACTTCACTGTGCACCTCCAGCTGACCCCCACAGTAATGAGCCTGAGGTTAAACATACTTGCTTGATTGGTACCAGACTCTGCAAAAAAGCACTGATGAAAAGGCCTGACGCATTTTAGCCCCACTGGCTGCTGCGCATGCGTGTAAACCTGTGGTAGGGAATACGCTCCCACATTTACATGAGAATTGCAATTCAGCTTGGCCAGAATCAGTAGAGTCAAGACTGTACAGCTGCGGTTCAGCCTACCCATCTCTACTCAGGCAAAACCTCACCACCTCCACAGGGCTGCAGCCCTCGGAGACGCTCCTAATTCGCATTTCCACTTTCCATGGCAGTGGCGATGCAGAGAGGCTGCCAGGTGACTGTAGGTGCATGTACTGCCACCTTGCTTTCCCTAACTACACCTTTATCAGTTACTCCTATTTTTGCTCTTAAAAACATGCACCTTGCCAGTGGCAAGGTGTGATACTTTAATACACTTTTTAGGCCTCCTCTAGACACTCAAATACTTGCTTAATTGCATATCTAATTTGCATATGCAGTTACTACAACTGAAAGTGTAAGTCCCATATGTTGAAACTACCCATCCTCCTGTGGATGCCACGTGCCTTTATAGTTACAGTAATGGTATGCACAGGTTTGGGGCACTTGGAGAGCAGGACAACAAGCGTGAATCATTACATACTTGTTTTTCTGTATGAAATATCAAAGCAATTAAAAACAGTTTCTTTAAAAGGAGGGGGAGGGGTGGTATGGTTATCTGGAGGGTTGGCAACATTATTGCCATTTAAGAAAGTGACAGTCAAAATACATGGGCTTGAGTTTTGTGGATTGTGCTGTATATGTTAACATCTGGAGTAGGTTTTGGAAATGTCACTTTTTGTAGACTTGACTAGAAAAATGTAGTTTAATGCTCATAAGGCCTCCAGCTTGCTGCTGCTTGGATTGCAAAAAGAAAAGGCCGGAAAAGATAATATACTTAGACATAGCCAGCATGAGTTTGAATTTCCTACCCCCAGGCAATGCTACTTGTGCTGAGAGAGCTATACGTTTACAGCCCATGGTAACGAGGCCAGGGTGAAGGGCTATATCCCTGACATTGCATGACATATGCACGATCATACCCATTAGGAGTATGTCCTTATGAAATGTTTAGCATGACACTAATTATCAAAGGCGTTAGCTTACTTCAAAGAGCATCAATGGTAAGAAAAACTTAATTTCTCCTTATTCCATTTTGCTTCCCTTCACCTTTCTCCATAATATGCTGTTTACTTTGATTTCTTTTTAGTCCAGTAAATATATGACAGTCGACTCGGACGTAGACCTGGGCCCCTTCATTTTGATTAAAAGCCATCTCGGCGAATGCATCACAGAACAACCCTTCCAAAAGCTGACTTAGATGAACTAGGAACATTGGGAATAATTTTGTTTTCCTCAAAATAACAGGAACAAATGAAACAACCCCAACGGCCAGATTTTGGTCTTTGAAACAAGAGCCTTTGCTTCATGTGGTTCCCCTGTTCTTCCCCTTGATGGGCCACATTCGCGTCTCTGCAGGTTGGGGCCGGCAGTGGCGGAGCTGCAGAACGTGTCTGGCCTGGAGGTGCCGAGGGGAACCAGGATGCACCGCCCAGTGCTCAAGCCAGGTTTTCAGAAGGGCCCTCAGTCATTTAGATTTTTGCATAATTTCTAATGTGTACTTGACTTCCGACATTTCTTGCGTAGGATTCAGGATATCTGCAGCCTTTGGTTTCCACTCGTGCCTTTAAATACTGGGAGGCTTCAGCTGTGTTAAACTGTTTGAGAATGTAGAAACTCCTTGTGTTTTCTATTAATGCATATCTTCAGTCAGTTTGGTGAATATTTGTAAGGCAAAATATTGCTCCTTCAATGTATTTTGAATTTCACTGTATTTTACAGCCCAGTATCCCAAACAACTGAAGATTTAAGTCAGGGGAATAGCCATGCTTGAGTTTTTTTTCCTCTGCACAGCAGTAATAAATTATAGTTTTTTCTGTGTCAACTGTTCGGATATCTTCCCTCTCCCCAAAGGAGAGAAATGATCAGGTCCTGGCTCATCTAATTGCTGGCTTCTCTCTTGTTTTGTGGCAGCAAATGGGACCTCAAGCAGTCAGCTGTCTACACCCAAATCCAAGCAGTCTCCGATCTCCACACCCACCAGCCCAGGGAGCCTCCGTAAGCACAAGGTATTACGTTTCTTATACCTTACTACATCTGTTTCTTTCTTAGTCTACTCAGATATGTAAGACATTTAATTCAGGACCATGTTATCTGGAAACACAACTCTATAAGTTGAACCAATGGAGAATTTGGCCTATTACGTAGAAATACTATCATTTAAGGCTCTAGTGACATGATGAAAAATCAGTATCAGTGTTTGAAAGAATTCCTGGCTCACTGATAAATATAATTTTCATATAAATCTTCCTCTCTCAAAAAGCTTAAGTGCTGGCAAATCTGGCACATTAAACAGCAGAAGAAATGTGAATGTTACTGAAGCTCTAAGCCATCATTTTAATGCTGCTTCATAAACATTTTTTAAAATGCTTTAGGTCATGCTCTGTTTCACAGGCAATAAGTGATTTTTCACTGGTGATGTACTAACTGTGTGCTGCTACAGTAGCTGTTTTTCCTGGTAACATCCAGGGTGTCTAACAAGTAGCAAGCAGTCCTAGCAGAGATCAGTAAACTGGGGCTGGCCTCATAGATGATTTCATGTATTGATTTATTTGAAAGGTATAGCAGCAGTTTCAGCTTTTCATGGTTCTGTTATTCAGCGTCTCTCCGCATGGAATCCAATTTGTCATTTCCATGGGCTTTCTTACTTCTGCAATAGCCACAGCGTTGCTATTCTCTTCTTCCAACAGTCTTTCTATGGAATTTGAACATATGAAACTTATGGGCTAAGAGGAGGTCAGTGGGATTTCTGCTTTAGAAATCGAATGCCACTTGAATTTAGTAATCAGAATTTCCCCCTCAACCAGAGTGTGATTTTGGAAGCGTTGACTTGAGGTGAAATTCCGGAAGAGTAATTAAAAAATCCTGATGGTGCTGAGGTTTTGCAGTCAGCCAGCCACATGTCATTCATTGTGGGCTGTATTGCACGAGTTCAACTCATTATTTTGTTTGAGGATTATGTGTTTTCTCAAAGTGAGTACTTGGTAGCAGAAGTTGGGCCACGGTTGTTACGATGATGAAACAAAGCATAGAGAAGTCAATGGGAAGAACCCCAAAAAGTCCAGTGGGCTTTGGATTAAATCCCTAATGCACAGGACTTCCGATTACAAACCTTTTCACATGGGGTTCAATAGTCCTGGGGGAGCCTGGGGTGGAGTTATGGCTTCTCAGAAATCAGATCCTTAAAATATTTCCAACATATGGAGAGGTCGTAGCCACTCAGGTTTGTTTGGTTTTAAGAACAGCTTAGCTGAATCCAGACGAAGTTGGTATTTTCTCCAGGACTGCAGTCTGATCTCAGCTGCTCAGCATAAGTCTGAGGAAACCCACCAGTTTTAATGGAATGGGTCCAGATATATTATTAATTTATAATTGAGAACAGGATCTGGACCGTAGTCTGCATTCAACAATTCTTTACGGGTATTCCAACGAGAGTAATGCTGTAAAACACAACCTTTTCTTCAGCAATCAAGGTCCTGAAAATACTTTCCAAACACTGCTTCATTTAGGGATTTGGAGATGAGGCTTTGCTTCCTGGTAAAGACAAGTATAATCACCTTCTTTAATGTTTTATGTATGTTTTCAGCTGACTGGTTTATGACCTTTCCAGTGAAGCCCCTGGAACATTTATAATAGATGGTGATGGCTGAGGGCTTCTCCACTAAATTAAGCCAATCAGAAGACATGAATGTAGCATTTTAGGTTACCAGAATATTCATGCATCATTGTTTTCCTCCTAGGAGCTATTTCCCGCTGATGATGAAATCACTTTTCTTTTTTCCCCCTAAAGCTCAAATGATAAATGCTTAGGCTTAGTTCACCACAAAGTCATAATTTACCTCTTATCATATCAACATTTGTTGTGAATCGCCTTTCTATGTATTTGTGCTTTGCTTTATTTTGCTCACGCTTATTCCTTGTGTGTAGGTCAGGGTTCAAAAAGGACCAAGGAGAGCTTTAGCCCTAGAGCAGGTTAGTGTACCTAATTCCATGCCAAAATGAAAAGAACTGGAATAAAGTGGTATCCCAGAAAGGGACTCTGAACAAGTTTTTCATTCAGTGTTAGATCCAAATAAGAAGTTTGGGATTATTTTCCTAACCCTTCTATTTGATCTGGAATAGCTTAAAATACAGAGTAAATCATGGAACAGGTGATTTTTCTAGAGATTAGTCCTAAGGACAACTGTCAAATAAAGTAAGACTTTTCATTGTGCTCTGAGGTTCAAAGCGACATGTTTAAGGAAAGATCCCATTCTTTCATGCATATGCTACAATGGACACGTTGATCCAGAAGTGATGAAAAATTCTTCTCAAACTTCTCAAATCTTTCTTTAGGTAGTGAGATCCACTGTGCAAGTAACCTGCCTTGATTTTAGCCATGAACTACTTGGACAGCTGGTTAGCCCACCACATAACCAGTGACAGAGACGTTCACCTGGTCCCTGTGAAGTGCGCGGAGCTGGACCAGTTGACTGCTTCCTTGCTCATGAGCGCAGGTGGAAACTGGGTATGGGAGTTAACGTTTTCTTCTTTCTTCCTACAGGACTTGTATCTGCCTCTGTCTTTGGATGACTCTGATTCCCTGGGAGATTCCATGTAAAGTGACACGAAGCTCCATATTGCAAGCTATGGTTAAGATACAGTAGAGTACTTCTGCCAAAAGAAGCAGATAGGTGACTGGTGCTTTCAGATCAGACAAAGGACACACAGTTATATGTCATTTTTTTTCTGTGATTTATCCTCTGTGCCACAAAACAACACCTATCAATCTATAGAGATAGAGGGATACCATTCTCCTAAGTAAAGTTATAGGGATGCAAAATGGACATTGCCAGCAGTTTTAGGCCAGTGTGCCAATGATCCTGTGCATTTCTCATTTTCTTCTATTATTTCTTCTTCTGCTGCAACTACATGCTTTTCCCAGTGATAGTAAAATAGCTCCCCCGGAAGAGTGCAAATCACTCTCTTGCTGACCAATTTGCAAACTCAAGCAGAGCAAATGATATTCTTCACCTATCCAAACTGCCAGTGTTTGCTAGCAGACCTCCTTCACATTTGCACCCCTGACTGTAGCACCTGCATGCCAACTAGTAGTGTTTTTGTTACTGTACTGGAGGGCAGAGAGGGAAATCACTTACTAGTTTGATGCTTACTATGCCAGCAGACTGTGCCAGCAGAAATTTGGAAAAGATTGGGAATGGTTGCATGAGATACTAATTAAAGTGTGTACAATAGTGCTTCTTGCAATATTCAAATACTGGAATATGTTATAGTGATTAAGAAAAACAAAAAGTAAGTCAGCTGAGTTGTCTAGAGTGCAACAGCTTTCACATATGATCCAAAGATACTGCTGGCTGATAACAAATTTTTATACCTACTGTATGGTATCTCTCTATCTCTGCTTACAATAGTAATGCCTTGTAAACAGCCAACACTGAAAACACTGTGAAAATTTGTTTTCAGGTCTGACACCCTATAGGTCGCTTTTTATAGCAAAAAATCAATACACTTTTTATAAAGGAAAGCCTTGTATCTGTGTTTTGGGAGTAAGAATTCAAGCTCCTTCTTTTTTATAAAAGCTGGTAATTTTCTTTTGTTTAAAAAACACATTCAGAAAAATGTACAAAAAAAACCAACCAACAACTGCAGAACAGTAACAACAACTCAATTTAGCTATCTTGCCATCACTGCCAAAACAGACGCTTGTAGGGAAAAAAAAGAGAATCAATTCAAAATATTGAATGTTTTGATAGTTTTTGTAATGTTTAAGACTGCATATTTGGTTTTTTACACTTCAGTATTCCTAACTATGGCCAGATTCTCTACTTATGTAACAAATGGAACTTTGTGGTGTTCAAAAAACCATGTTTTAAGAAACTCTTCTATCAGACAAAAACAAACTTAATGTATTTAGATAAACCTTTCACTTTTATTAATCAGTAATGACTCCTACGGAATGCAAAGTTCATCTATTTATGCAGGGCTGGTGGGTTTTACTACGCTGAAGCTTTGTCATAGGCTAGTTGGCATTGCCTCTCTTTCTCATGCAATACGCTTTCGATGAAACTGAGTATTACGGAACTTCACCTGAATGAAATCCGTGCAATCAAACCTTTCCTTGTTGCTCTATTTGCCTTTGTTTCAAAGTATATACCTATTCCTTATTCTTTTGCAACCCCTTGTAATTAGAAGGAATTATAAAGTGGTGATGTTTGACGGTACGTTGAACGCTGGGTTGTTCCCGAAGCCACTCCACATTTTGTTTGCTTGCATCACTGGTATGAAACAATCTGTGCAGGCTGCGTCTTCAAAGGTTCATGTGATGATACAGACAGTGCAACTTAAAAAAAAAAAAAAAAAAAGCTGCATCTGAGAGACAGGATTGGGAATTACTGAGGGGCCAAAGCTGTTATGCACCAGATTTGTACCCTGTAGTCTTCGCGCATGATCATTTACACCCAGAATTTTGCACAAGAAATCATTGGTGCCCACAAACAACTTTGAGTAACTCTCCAAACAACTTTGAGTAACTCTCCGACTATGTGACTGCTAAATGATGTCTGACATATTGTAAATAGACACCCAACTTCAGTTCAGAAGGATAAGGACTCATATTGTTACTTTGTGGAGGAAAGGATGGTCCTCTGGATGCAGCATAGTTGCAGTAGTCAGGACACCTTCATTGGCTCTTGGCACCGCTAGATTTGGTGTCTGAATTCGAGCAGGTCTCTTGGTAACCCTGTGCCTCAATGCGTTATCTGTGTGATGGGGATAATACTGCTCTACCTCACTGGGGGTTGTGAGGCCAAATGTTTGTTAACGTTTGTAAAGTGCTTTCAGATCGTCTAATAGAAGGTGCTGAACTATTCTGGGTGCAGATTTGGTTATGGGTGCTAATTTTTGGCTGTTTAATCCTGTGGGTGCTACTGTAGAGGGAGTAAGGATGTCAAAGACCATTAACTGGTTTTGCCGAAAATATTATTCATTAGAGCTTTTGTCTCAGTAAAAACTTTAGTGGAACGGATAATGTGAAATGCCTTTACTCTCGCCTCTGTTCTGTTGCTGGAAATCTGAGTCCCTCCCCAGATTTCTGCCTTTCCATGGCCCTTGACTAATAGTCATGGCCCTGCCTGTTAGAAATGATGGACTTGGACTCCAGTCAAAGGTGGTGTCACTTCAGTGAGAGGCCATTTCGCTCACAGCCAGGGTTAGTGTATCCTGCCACCCTCTCTGCTAACCCAGGAGAGCAGCCAGGAAATCACATCTAGCTTCTGCTGCCCTTCAGTGCAGGACACACCACAGAGCCACCAGGCAAATCTAAATCTTTGTTATCTCTGAGCAGACTGAAGGGCTAGAGGTGACAGCAGTATGAAAGGAGTCTGAGATGTACTGTCCTCCAGCATCCATCAGTTCAGTTTGGAAAGGGTAAAGCAGGATAGCAGAGGGTGAATGGACCTGTGGATGCACTATGGATAGTTGTTACCGTTGCTGAGAGGTGGTTACTTTCCTTCCTGCCATGAATGGTGTCTGGTTATTTAAAGATGCTCTTCCTGGTGGAGTGTGCTAAGGAATCACTGAGGGGGTCTTCCTGAGCTGCATCTAATACCAGATCCTGCAAATGCTCCCTTGGGAGTGGAGTTTTGTTTGCATAGGGTCATCCTGAGGTGGGTCTGAGCCCAGCAAATCTTTTGGGGTGTTAGCAAGGGAACCTGAAGAGGCCTAAAAGAAGAAAAAAGTTCTTCAGTGGGGAAAAACAACCATTCAAACCAGCAAAAGCCACAAAGAAAACAGGGTATGAGGTCAAACTACCAAGTTTTAGAACGCAATTTTCTAGGTAGAAATGCCTGGGCAGTAGGTAGAAGTTGGTGAGCATTTCAGCCGTAACATATAGGTAAGTCTCTATTATCTGCTCATGATATTGCATGAGTTTGTGTACAGAAATGCATGTGTAAGGTAGCGTACAGGCAGCAGTAGGTATCTTTGGCTTTGTAGGATCATGGATTTGAATACGAAGAGAAAAAACACACAGGCATCATACCTTAGTCATTTAAATATAGGGACAGCCCTGATTCAGGAAAGAACTTAAGCACATGCTTAACTTGTAGCGTGTGCTTTTCTCCTGCTGATTTTTCATGAGAGGTAGGCTTGGGCTTGGTCAGAATGCTTTCCTGAACTGGAATGAATTAGGAATTGCTTTTAATATACTGTAATAATTCCACACCCTATGAGTTCCTGGAGCAGATGATAGTAACTCCACTATATACTCCAGAGTTTACTTTTTATATTTTTTCTACTTTTATAAGCACATAAAACATCACAGGATATGAGGATTTGCCATATTAATTCTGCTATAAAAGCCCTATCTAATTTCCCTCATGAGGCTGCCTTTAGTGTTTTCAGAGACTAACTGAATCACTAAGACTATATTGCTTTAAAACAGTGCAGTATTTAAAAACAAATTGGAGAGGCTCTTAAACTAGTAGAGCTTTATTTCTTAGAAATATGCCTTTATTTACTCAGCACCTCATATATTTTAGTGATTTTGCATATAAAACAGTTAAAATACTTATTTCAGATACGTAACCCTCAAAGCATAGAGAGACTTATGTATTTGGTATTCGTATTCATACCTTGCAGTGATAGTCTTGACTGTGGAAGATCAGGGCCATACAGCAAAATTCTTGAGCCTTGGCATTTTTGTCACCTTTTAAAGCATTTATATCCTGAAGTTTCTAGGTTAAAGTGTCATCTAGTAAAAATTATGGAGCTACTTCAGGTCCACCAGCTTACTAGCTAACCAAGTCTCTGCTCCTTGAAATAATTTCAAAAGAATTTGGTAACTGAATTTTAACTTGGTCCACTCTGCAGTGGGAGATGAAGATGGCTTTGCCTGCCATTGTCTGTGTTTCCCATATCTGCATATCATTCATGGTCTTCGCAGGAGCCATTCATGGTCTTCTCAGGAGCTGGCAGCACTAACTGTTATTTTCATAGACACCAGAAAACAACTACCACATCGCTCTTTCACATTTAGCTAACACATATATGTACATGCAAACAATCACATCCTGAATCTAGCTGTTATTTCTCTCTCATTTCCTTGAATAGTGCTTTTGAAGCAAAAAAAGGGAGGTAGGATCAAAATAATCATGACAAACAGCAAAAGAGTGTTATACCCATGGGTTTTTAATAGGAAACAGTAGTATAAGTGTTAGTTTCCTTTTATCCGTATAACACTGATGATGTTTTCTAGGATGTCTTGCGTTTGCTTTTTCATGCCTTTCATGCTCAGTGCTGGTCTTACTGCTAAATCACAGAATACCTCCCAAAATTGCTCCATAAGACCATGCTGTATCCTTAATGAGATGCTCTTCCAGCGACAGCCATCCCTGGAAGCTGAATGCTCTCTGCAGGGGCGCAATGTGGACATTTTAATATGAGTCTCCTTTATTGCAGTAAGAGCACAGGGAGGATTTTGCCATTGACCTCAGTGGTACCCCACATCCACTCAGGTCAGTTGGAGAGCTGTCTTTGACTACAGTAGAGGCAGAATCATTTTTAGAGAATGGAATTAAAAATAGGCAAGTAAAGTAGAGACAAAAGTAGTCTAGAAAGTGTATCCTTAAGCTAGGACAATCTCCAACCAGAGAAAAGCAATGTAGATCTGAATCTCATTTAGTCTTACCACACTCAGAGTGCTGATCAACCAAGAAAACAGTGTCTTTTCTCTAGTGGCGATTTACTTAGGCTCAAAGTTATTCTTCTGGTTGCTGATGGAAGCAGGCTGGAACAGGCATTGGGACTGGTGAGGTTGTTTGTGCAAGAAGATGGATGACACGGGATGTAGATCTTTTCCTCTCTAGGTAAAGAGTGAACTCAGACCGTGCAACAGGATTAGTACTTTATACCTGACTTTATACATGATAACCTAGAAGGGATCCAGCTGAAACACGACCCTGGTGTAGTGAGACCAAGTAGGTTAACTCTTTAAGTGCCTTCCAACTTCCAGTGCTTTGGGCTTCAGAAGCAAGACGACAGAAGTGCCCAACAAGGCCTTAGTAAAAGTGACCTTGACTAAAGTGGACAGGACAGACTTCTTGATTCTTGAGCCTCTTCAGATGATTAGCTCATCTCACATTTATAGAACCAGCTCTTGGAAATGACTGTATTTGATGTGGTCATGACCACAGGTTCCTTCTGGCTGATGTCTCTGTCCCATCTGTATGAATCTGAGCAGGCCTCTCCATGGTATCTCAGGAAATGTTAAAGCTGAGTCTTGTGGCTCACAGTGCAGCCAGTCCATGTTGACTGATGGGGCTGGGCTGGGTTCTGCTGCATAGGTTATTGATCCTGTTGTTTAGGTCATCTTAACTCTCCTTTTTCTCCTGCTTTGAGGTCTGGTATCTCTCCTTCCAGGTGCCTCCAGCTGAAAGGCTGGGGCCAGCAGCCTGAATAGACTCTGGGGGATTTTTTCCCCCTCTGGAAAAGATCTGGCTATGTGATGTGTGACTACAGGTCTGGGGCCAAGCTGACAAAATGCCAAGTGTTAATAAGGAGATGGAAGATGCTCAGAGAGATTACGAGTGGGTGGAAAGAAAGGGTTTTTTTCAGCAATTCCATTGTCTAGCCGCTCTCTACAGATTCCCAGCTGTAGGGCAGTGCAAGAGTACTGCTTCTGCAGGTGAAGTCGTAGAGGGTTGGAGTCATAGACCACTTTCCATCCTTCAGGACACTTTGTTTAGAGAAGGTTAAAAACACTGACACCAAGTTTCAGCCAATAGATAAGCTTGTGGTAAATGAGAATCAGACCTAGTGGAGGCAGCAGTAGGACCTCGACGTCACTGGTTCTTTGGCCTGCTGCATGACCATGGGCAGATTAGTTCTCCTTGTGCCATGTGTCCTGATGCATCAAAAGCGGATCATAATACTTGACTTCTCTCTATAGGGTGCTTTGAGATCTGCTGACACAAACAGCTACAGAAGAGCTCTTAAGATATATATGTAGCTCTTAAGATTTATTGATTACTTAGCAAAGTCTGAAAACCATGTAGAGGCAAACTACAGCCCACTGGTTTTTGGCAAGTCTTTTCGGGAACTTTGGCTCTCTCAAATGCTGAGCAGTTCAAATGCTGGGTAGGAACTCTTATTATTTCATTAATGATGAAATTCAGTCACACCATTTTTTGTTCCCCCCAAACGCGCAGAGGAGCCAGCAGTGGCCTGAGAGCAAGGCCACATCCATATGCAATAGCCAAATGCTCTCATCTGGAACTAAAGTGGCCACTTTAGTGGCCAGAATACAGTCCCCTGTTGCTCCTCTTTTTGTTATGTGTATGTGTACATATCTGAGGGGAATTTGAGTTACTATCCAAAATGTGGGCCGTGTATTTGGAAATGATGAATAAGTCTAATGACTCCAACGGCCTTCTACCAAGAAGACTGGGCCTGTTGTTGAAAGCTTCCTTGTTTGGAAAGTGTTCAT